CAAAAGTGTTTGATGAAATTCCTGAAAGAGTTGTGTTAGAGGTTTAAGTAATTTTTCATCATGGGAATGATTTGTTAAATGCTTGAATGATCATTAAGAGCTGTTTGTTAATGCATATTGATTCATGTTTCACAAATGGGAATTTGGTTTGAAAATGGATTAGTATAGGGGTTAATACCTTCATGAGAGGATTAACCTAGATTAGAGTTCTTAATCATTTGAATCATGTCTCATCATTGTCATTAGCATTTCTAGTTTAACACCAAGGCACCCTAACCAACTATCATGTCTAGAATCTCATGCCTCCATCATATCATATTCACATCATTTGTCATTGTCATTTGTCTTTAAACCTGTTTATGTTTATAGTTGTCTCTAGATTAATCAAAACCTATTCTTGTTTGCTTGAATTAAGAACTTGATCATATAGCTTAGTGTCTAACACCACATCTGGATTGATAAACCTCTTTGTACTACATTGACAAGGGGATTGATAGCCCTGAGACCCTTAAAAGTCTTATCTATCAATTGGCGCCGTTGCCAAATTGTGGTTTGATTAGCATTACGCTCTGATCTGTTCTTGAGATCAAGTGCTTATTTTCAACCCTTGGAATAGAGAAAATTGTTGAGGATAAAACTATTGTAATGATTTTAACTGCTTCCTTAGCCGAATCCTTTGAAAATGATAGAAATACTGGCTAAGGGTTGAGTTCGTTTAAGGACATCGTTTGGATTCTTAATCCCGAGGTGGGAGTTAGTTTTGTGGAACATCTTTTAGGTGATGCTGGAAAACTTTTTAAAGTGATAATGTCGAGGCGACTTTTTGCCTGGTAATGCCGAGCCATTTTTTAATGACGAGGCATTTTTGCTGCGTATTTTGCCAAACCGTGTAAACGACGAGGCGTTTTTTTGCTTGGCATGACGCCGAGCTGTATAGGCAACGAGGCGTTTTGCAGTTGTTAGCCGAGGTTGAAGTGTTATCGAACCTGTCTAAGGACCGGTGTTCTCGAGTATGTTTATCCGGGTTTAAGAGTTTACTTCGGTTTTTAGAGAAAGCGATGTAGTCTCGACTTATATTCTCGTGTGCGATAGTAAACCGTGGCGGCCAGATACGTTTTTGGTCTGATATTTGTATAGCGCGCTTAATTTTTATCCGTAGAGGATGTAACTTGCACCCTCGTCCTAGGAAAGGTGGTAAAAGTTCGTTTAGAGAACTTTGTACTTGTTGCCCCGTTGTGGCCAGCAACGAGGCTAGGCGTTCAGAGGCTTAGTTTGCCGAACTGAAATTGAGGACCGATTAGGGTCCGAGGTAATCGGGTCATGATATCATGCCGAAGTGGTACGATTACTTGCCGAAGTGATGAGTGATAAAATTTAAAAATCCGAGCTTGTTACAATGTGAAGCTAGCCGAAGCGATAATAGTTTAACTAGAAATCAAGTGAAATAAGTAGATGATTAAAAATGAAGTGAGAAATATGCCGAAGTGGCGACGTTCCTAAATGGGTAAGTCAAAATAATAGAGTTTAGAGGAGGTATGTGTATACGTACCCACTCCCCCCCTTTTTAGGGGGGGGGACAGCTGAACCCGTCCGAAGACGGGCTGCCTACGTACCCTTTGCAGGGATCAAGCCGTCCCGTAGTTCATGATGGTCGTGCTGTATCCTTAGTGATAGTATTTCTTCAGATGCATTGCGTTCCATGATCTTGGAATCGCCTCGTCGGCTAGTGTCGCGAGTTCGTAGACTCCTGGACGAACCACTTTGGTGATCTTGTAAGGACCTTCCCAATTTGCTCCGAGCTTTCCTGCGTTCTTCTCGGCAGTATTTTGGAAGACCTTTCGGAGGACGAGCTCTCCCTCTTTGAATCTTCGGCTACGAACGTTTTTGTTGTAGTACCGCGCTGTTGCTTGTTGGTAGTTCTGAATTCGAACTAGGGCTTGGTCGCGCTTTTCGTTGATTAGGTCGAGCTCATCTAGCATCATTAAGTGGTTTAAGCCTTCTTGTCCTGGTAGAAGTCTTCGTCGAATACCTGGGAAGTCCACCTCGGGGGGAATTACGCACTCCGATCCGTAGACCAGAGCGAATGGAGTTTCCCCAGTGGCTCGGCGCAGAGTTGTCCGATGAGACCAAAGGACTCCTTCGAGTTCGTCTGCCCACCGTCCTTTCTTCTCGTCGAGCCTCTTTTTCAGACCATCGAGGATCGTCTTGTTGGCTGCTTCGGCTTGTCCATTCCCTTGAGGGTATCTTGGCGTGGATTTGCTGAGGCGGATTTTCCACTTCTCGCAGTAAGCTTCGAAGCGTGTTGAAAGAAACTGGGATCCGTTGTCGGTGACGATCTCGTAAGGGACCCCGTGTCGGCAGATTATATTTTTCCAGACAAAGTGTTCGACCTGAACGTCTTTTATACTTGCGTAAGAATCGGCCTCGACCCACTTGGAAAAGTAATCCATGAGGACGAGCAGAAAACGCTTCTGTTTCGAGCGATGTAGAGGTCTGACGATGTCCATCGACCATCTCATGAATGGATAGGGCGACAAAATTGACGAGAGCAGCTCGGTAGGTTGGTGAATTGTTGGAGCGTGCCGCTGACATTTCTCGCATTTCGCCGTGAATTTCTCGCAGTCTTTGACCATCGTAGGCCAGAAGTAGCCATGCCGTTTTATCTTGATAGCGAGTGACCTTCCGCTGGAGTGGTTACCGCACGCGCCGCTATGCACCTCGTGCATGATCTTTCGTGCTTCTGGTCCTTCGACGCATGTCATGAGAGGCCCCGAAAATCTCCATTTAAACACCTCGCCATCGACGAGGACATAACGTGCTGCCTGAGTTTTAAGCTTGCGGGCTTCCCATTTGTCGGTTGGCACCTCTCCATCGGCGATGTACGTGCGGATGGCCCCGAGCCATTCTTTGTCGCAGCCGTATTTCGGCTCAGCCGACGAGGCGTCTTCCTCCATCGGAATGGCTTCGTCGTCTTCTGGTTCTTGTTCAGGGGGATTTATCAGCCGAACTCCTTCTACTTCTTCGATGCTAGGGCGTTCGATGAATTCGACTGGGATCGTTCGTCGGAGGTCCGGGTCCGAGGTTGAAGCGAGTGCTGCTAAGGCGTTGGCCGAGGTGTTTTCTCCTCGGGGAATGCGAGTGAGTTCGAACTCATCAAACTTTTGCACCAACTGCCGGACCACTTTGAGGTAAGCGCCCATACGTCCATCCTTCGCCTCGTATTCTCCGTTGAACTGACATGCTACGAGCTGCGAGTCGCAGAAGGTTCTTATTTTTCGAACTCCGATTCCTTGTGCTAGCCGTATGCCGGCGATCAGTGCTTCGTATTCTGCTTCGTTGTGCGAGGCGTGGAAGTTCAGGCGAAAAGACTGCTCAAGTATTTCTCCGGTGGGAGAGGCAAGGCGGATTCCTATTCCCGAGCCATGTTTAGATGACGAGCCGTCGACGTGCAATGTCCATACTTCGTCTAGGGTTGGCTCGTTTGTTGCTTCGGCCGGGAGTTCAATGAGGAAATCAGCGAGCACTTGTGATTTTGCAGACGACCTATTCCGATACTCAATGTCGTATTCACTCAGCTCTATGGCCCACTTGGCGAGCCGACCGGATTGGCTTGGGCTGTGCAGGATCGAGCGCAGCGGAAGGGTGGCGAGCACAACAATCGAATGCGACTGAAAGTATGGGCGCAGCTTGCGAGCCGAGACTACGACGGCTAGGGCGACCTTCTCGATTTGTGGGTAGCGGGTCTCGGCGTCGGTCAGTGTTTGGCTGATGTAGAAAATGGGTTTTTGCTCGGATCGTTCTTCTCTGATTAATACCCCACTTACAGCTGTAGCAGACACCGCGATGTAGAGGAAGAGCGGCTCTCCTTCGACCGGTTTTGCTAAGATTGGCGGGTTCGCCAGATAAGTCTTCAGTTCTTGGAAAGCCGTCTCACATCGTTCGTCCCATTTAAATTTCTTGTTTCCTCTGAGGGTGTCGTAGAAAGGCAGGCATTTGTCCGTGGAACGGGAGATAAATCGATTTAGCGCAGCGACTCTCCCTGTTAACCTTTGTACTTCGCGCTTCGTCCTTGGAGAGGGCATTTCAACTAACGCCTTTATCTGCTTGGGGTTTTCCTCTATGCCTCGGTGGGTTACCAGATAGCCGAGGAATTCTCCCGAGGTGACTGCGAACCTGCACTTCGCCGGATTTAGCTTCATGTTGTGCTTGTTCAACTGTTCGAAACATTCTTGTAGGTGCGCGACGTGGTCTTCCTCCTCGAGTGACTTAACTAACATGTCGTCGATGTATACCTCCATAGTTTTCCCGAGCTGAGCTGCAAACATTTTGTTGACGAGCCGTTGGTACGTTGCTCCTGCGTTTTTGAGCCCGAACGGCATGACTTTGTAGCAATATATCCCGCGATCGGTTATGAATGCCATTTTTTCCCGATCATCGGGATGCATCAGGATCTGATTATAGCCGGAGAACGCGTCCATAAACGTTAACAGTTTGTTCCCTGCAGTGGCCTCGACGAGCCGGTCGATATGTGGCAGGGGAAAGCTGTCTTTTGGGCATGCCTTGTTGAGGTCGGTGAAATCCACACAGACTCGCCACTTGCCGTTCTTCTTCTTCACAACCACCGGGTTTGCGAGCCAGTCCGGATATTTGGCCTCGGCGATTGATCCTACCTTGAGTAATCTCTCAACTTCGTCGTTGACTGCTTTAGCTCGTTCTGGACCAAGCTTTCTTCTTTTCTGCTTGACTAGTTTGAAGGTTGGATCCACATTAAGCTCGTGACAGGTTACGTCGACGCTGATGCCTGGCATGTCTTCCGCCGTCCAGGCAAAGGTATCGATGTTTTCCTTGAGGAGGGAAAGGAGCTTGCTTCTCAGGGGTTCGCCTAGTTGTGTTCCAATTTCGACGCACCGCTCCAGATGCGCCTCGTCTATGCACACCGAGTCCACTGCGTCACATATCGGCTCGGTGCGTGTTTCGCGGCTCTCCGCGATCTGTAATTGCTATAAGAGTTTGGAGAGCTCGTTCGCGGGCTCTCTGTCTGTCTTCATCTTTTTGCGGTCTATGTCAGCTCGTGCGTCGGTGACGGGGTTCCTTAGCTTGTGCTCGGTTAGGAAGCAATTTCTTGATTCCTTCTGATTTCTCCATATCGTTTTGACACCTGATGGAGTTGGGAATTTGAGACAAAGATGATAGGTGGAAGGTACCGCCCTCATCCCGTTGATCCAAGGGGTTCCCATGATGACGTTATAGATGGCTGGGAGGTCAGTGACGCAAAACTCGACGATCTTGGTGACTCCGACAGCTACCACAGGAAGCCTGATCGTTCCCATAGTCATCGTCGTTTCTCCCGAAAATCCGGTTAGAGGTTTGGGGATTGCCTCCACCTCGGAGAGGTCGATTCCCATTCTTCTGAGCGTTTCCCTGAAGACGACATTCACCGAGCTTCCAGTATCGATGAGCACCCTTGCTACGTCATGATCCCTGATCGTTAGCTCAACTACTAACGGATCATTGTGAGGTCGATCGATTCCTGCTGTTTCCTCCTCAGCAAAAGAGATCACCGTGTTTGGGATGTCAGTCGGCTCTGTCCAATTCTCCTTTGCTTCGGCTCGGCGCTGATAGGCTTTGATTGAGGAAACGGTATCTTGATAGTACTGGGATCCACCCATGATCATATTGATCCTTTGCCTCGGCTCGGGTCGCTCTTCAGGTTCGCCTCGCCTGTCGCGCTTGGGGTTGTCGCCTCGTCGGGGAGGATTCGCTGGTTCCGCCGCACCGTTCGGCTCGGCTTTTTCCTGTTGTTCGTTAGGGACGAGGTCTTTGAGGCTGACCACGTTTTGGAGCTCTCCTGCTGCCATTTTGGCTGCGAGCTTTGCTCCCAGGGTCCGGCATTGAGCCGTTGAGTGTCCGTAGGTCTGGTGATACTCGCAGAAAGCCTTCTCGTCGTAGTTGGCTGACTTTCTTACCCAAGTATTGTTGCGCGGCTCTCCTCTTCCGCGTCCGGAGCTGAACTCCTAGGCTCTTCCGAACTCCTAGGCTCCTAGGTGTCGTCGTATGGGCACCTCCGCTCCTAGGTCTGCGTTTCCGCGTTGCTTAATGGATTGCCCTTCTTCGCTGGGCGTGGCAAAATTGAGCTTCGGATCACTGCTTTCGTGGCTTCGTACTGCTCGTCCAAGTTTTTCATTTCCTCCTCGTTTACGACGAAGTCTGATGATCCGTGCAACGCGTCTTGAATTGTTTGCGGCGTATTGAGAGCCATCTCGCGGCGGAATTCGGATTTGTAGCACAAGAATCGTTTCAGAGCCTCGAGTGCAGCCTTGTCGCTTATCCCTTCTATTTTGGATACGACCGCCTTGAATCGCGTCATGTAATCCCGAAGCGGTTCGTTCGGTCCTTGAGATAGTGTCCATAGATCGGCATCAGATGTTCCTCTGTCCATAAACATCGAGTATTGTTTAAGGAACAAGGCGGAGAGCTGCTGAAAACTGCCGATTGAATTTCGTTCCTGCCTTGAGAACCACTCGAGTGCGGCTCCCTTGAGATGCTCCACGAAGAGCAGACAGTATCCGGCATCCACTTCGCGCTCGGTGAGTTTAGCGGCGTTCTTTGTGAAGGCTCGCCCCATCGCTATTCGAAACGCTGTGATGTGTGCTTTTGGGTCGGTTGTTCCTTCGTAGAACGGAATTCTCACCTTCCCTGGCTCGGGAATCCTGGCTTCCGTGATCCTTGCAGTGAACGGGGTTCTTTGGGTTTCTTCGAGCATTCGGTCGATTTCGGGTGCGGCACTTGTCGCGTTGTGCACTTGGGATTTCATAGCGCGTATTTCAGCTACCGTTCGAGCCATAGAGGCTCGCAGCTCTTTAAGCTCGAGGGTTTGTGCGTGAGTCATTCCCTTTGATTGGGGGAGTCGCTCCCGCTCCTCTCGCCTCGGCTCGTCTTCGCGCTCTTCCTGCTCGTTCCATTGGGGATTTCCGTCCGCTTCGATTGGGTTATCGCCTCGGGCTGGATCGGAGACATCGTCAGTCCGGATGCCGTTCAGTGCCGAGGCGAGTTCTTCTTCACTGATTCGACGAGCCGAGCCAGTTTGTTGTGGATTTATGGTCTCGTCGTTTTGCTGGGCGTCTACATCGATCGCGTCGTCTCCTTCCTCACCGGCTCGTTGCCTGGAGTTGCGGCGTAGTGGAGGCGGCTCGGTCATGTTGACTCGGGTTGCTGCAGGAGTGCGTTCGTCGAGGGGACGAAGAAAAGAGGAGTTTCTTGCACCACTCCCTGAGGCTTCGGCGGGCGTCGAGAAGTCGAAGCGTCTCCGAATTCCGTCCATCGGGTCGTTGACTCCGGCTCTCCAAGTCGGATGTTGTCGCTCTGCTGCCATTGCGTCGAGCCTCGCCGTAATCGCCTCGTTTCTTTTGTCTTGGTCGTCGATCTTTTTCATCAACGCAGCTATCATGTATCGCATCTCCTCATGGGTTTCGGTCGTCGCTGTTGTTGTCGGCACGGTCGTTGTGCCTGATCCTGGAGCGTCCCTATCCGCGCCGTTACCGGTGTTGTTGTTGTCGTCGTTAGCGTTGCTCGCCATTTTCTTCGAATCTTAAAGCTTTGTCGATATAGAGTAAGAAAGTTTCGTCTCCCCACAGACGGCGCCAAATTGTGTGAGCCAAAACTCGCACAACCAAAGATTTGTAAAGAAACTAAGGGATCGGAAACTTCTAGGGTTTATCGCCAAAGACAGTAAGTTCAAAAGAGAGCTTTTCTTGCTGTGAAAGTGTTTCCTTCTTATTGCTTAGGGTTGCCCAAAATTGGCGGAATGAATTACATACACCACATATTTATACTGATTTTCTAAACCGCCTAGCCGAGAATCTCGGGCGAGATTTTCGGAATATTTTCTTATCGTCTCGTGCGGCTGACCGACTTTGCATCTCGCCTAGGGTTTTTCGTGGGCTTCGCCTCTTCAAGGCTTCGGCTCGGCCCGTCATGCTTTCTTTACGGCTCGGCCCACTTGGCATAATTCGCTCCACCTCTCCGCGGCACGGCTCGGCCCAGGTATTTAGGACAGGGGCTCGGCCTATGTTATGTGATATGTTCATAATTTGCATCATTTAGGTTGCATAAATCATTCCAAATCATGTTTTATTTCATGCATTTTAGGTCCTTAGGGTTTGTTTTAGAACTTAGGAGATGCATTAGGTCCCAATCAGTCTATTGCATGTTTTGAGTGTCTATCAGGTGAATGTGGAGCTGAAAAGATGAATCAAGGAGGTGGAATGGTGAGCAAAGCTTGAAAAAGTGGAAAACTTGGGTCTATGGAGGTTATCGGCCATTCTCGCTGGCCAGGAAGGTTTTGTCGACCATTTTCACGTACCGCGGGTGAACTTTGTCGACCAAAACACGTACCGCGAGTGAAGTGTATCGGCCAAAATCTCCGGGTGCAAACATTTTTCAGAAATCGCCTGTCCGGGGAGCCTTCCGGTCCGATTCAGACGGCGGGTGCTTCATAGAAGTTGGAGAGCATTGCATCACGGTCTCTTAGCAAGTGGAATCGTGGAATTCGGACGCGTGAGCAGAGAGATAAGCTTGTCGGAAGGAACCCCAGTCTCGCAGGTATTCCGGACCGAGCAGATCAGTCCTAAAGGATGCGAAGGACGGTGCACTTCCAGGCCGATTCAGTTTCCGCGGCCTTCATGAGAATCAGAGACATTTGAGTCTTCTTTCCAGAACGTCCAAGAGCATTCAATTCGGATCTATGAGCAGGAAGATACGGTCTCCGGAATGGACACATGTCTAGACGCCTCTCTCTGGTCGTGTACATGCACTGCAAAGATGTGCCCTCCAAGAAGCCTTCCACTTCCCAAGCACTGAAACTTCCTTCACCAAAGTTGGAGATAAATGAGTCCTCTGTCTTCTGCAACCTAAATCATTCAATTCGGACAAGTATCACAGGAGTTACACTCTCCGGAATGCGAAGTGGTCTAAGCTGCTCTGGATGCTGCGAGATGGTCTTGCGACTTGGTTAACCCGCAGGCCTGAAGATGAACGCCTGAATGCTGATGCTGCGAGTTGAAATGTGCGGATAAACTATCACTGGAAGAGGTCTGAAGCTCCCGAGCAAGAGAAATGCTAAGTCCACAATCGTGCGACTTAGGCATGCGAGTCATCCGCGCCTGGATCTATGCCGCACAATCACTCGCAAATCACTCCGACTTGAGCCTGCGACCTAGGTGCAATAGAGACCAACCCGCACAGTTTGTACATCCCCCAGAAACCGGCTCAGCCCTGCGAGTTGGAGAGGAAGGAGACCATGCCGCAGAAACGTTCGCAATTTACTCCTACTTAAGCGTGCGGCCAAGACAAGGCGGTTCAAGCTTCACAAGACAAGTCTCCATCTACTGCGACTTAGTGTGCGGCTGGGACATACTGAAAGAAATTTGAGACCCGCCAGC